ATGTAGGTTCAACGTTCTTCCACCCTGAGAGGCCAATATTATACCTAGAGTGGCTATGTGCTCAACCGCTGCTTGTCAGATTTCATGAACCTCTTGGGCAAGGAGTTCCATGTTGTTATAGACATTGTCTAGTTTTTCTGCTATTCTCTGAGCAATAACATGTAGGATTTCCCCCACTTTCCTGATTTCTTATAAAGTGTGGAATAAACAGCCTTGGTAGCAGAAAGCAGCCCAAAATTCCACTTGAGTAGTTAAAATCTGTGAACTCAAATCAAGGTCCAGTTTCTCTCCTTGAATCAAGTTATCTAAAGACTTACTTCTCTGAAATGGAAACTTAACTGACCAAAAGAGATCCTTGGTGATATCAGGGACTATTCTGAAGGTAGACATTAGTTTACCAAGATAACAGATCCTGTGCAAGTTGCAGATAATAGTCAACAGGCGTTTATGTCATAAATCTAATACAAATCCATCAGGGGGCACCAAATGATCTGTCTTTGGTCAAAATAACCCTTTTGGGGTTGTCAAATAGTATTGTAATGGTTTGTACCATTTAGCAAGAATGGTCTGATGCCAAGCATGACAATTTTAGTAACAGAGACTACCGGGTACATTAAAACCAAAAGAACTTAGGGCTGCGCCTATATATGAGGTGTGATTAAAGGAATACAGTGAATGTTTAAATTTAAAAAATATTACAGTAAAAGACACATTGCCATTAATCCTCCTCAAAATACTCCCCCTCACTTCAAACACACTTATCCCATCATTCTTGCCACTCTCTGAAGCAGTTCTGAATGTCCTCTTTCGTGGGTGTCTTTAGTTGTGCTGCTGAGGCTGCCTTGATGTCCTGAATCGATTCAAAATATTTACTTTTCATAGTCATTTTGACTTTGGGAAAGAGCCAGAAGTCGCATGGTGCCAGATCCGGTGAATAAGGTGGATGAGAACACAGTAATACTTTTGACAGAAATTGCAGTACCAGAAGCGATGTGTGACATGGAGCCTTTCCATTGTGATCACAAAATACGGTGAATGCTGCTGCTGCTGAGTGCAATCCAATGGAAAAGCAGGGATCTTCAATATGAGAATTGGTGTGTCAAACCTTAGTAATAGTGTGTGACAAGTTTCAACTTGTTTGGTGCAGTCAGGTGTGAGCTACAGTTGAAAGAAGGTGTGTTTCAAAGTGTGCCATAAATCATCCTCCATCATGATGCCACTCAGTGTCACACATCACTTCTGGTATATAGCAATTTATGTCAAATAAAAATATTACGGTATGTCCTCATCCACCTTATTCACTGAGTATGGCACCATGCGACTTCTGGCTCTCCCCAAAGTCAAAATAATTCATGACATCAAGGCAGCCACGACAGGGCAAATAAAGACACTCAGGAAAGAGGACTTCCAGAACTGCTTCAGAAAGTGGCAAGAATGATGGTATAAGTGTGGTTGAAGTGAGGGGGAGTATTTTGAGAAGGATTAATGGCAATGTGACTCTTACTGTAATAATTTTTTATTTAAACATTCACTATATTGTTTAATCACACCTCATGATATGCCTTTTTTGGTAAGTGTATAAATGTGAGATAGCTTCTAAATATACACCATTTCTTCCTCAATCTTTTCCAGTTCTATTTTGGTGAAAGTTCAATTACAAAAGTTAAAGTCCACAAAGGATTCCCAAGTATTATTTCAGTGGAAACAGAAACTCCCTTTCCAGGTAGGATAAATAGTTTTAGATTTTGGTTTGCCTGGCCTAGTGTGGTGTTTGACATCTAAAAAGTCTCTCAGTTGTTGATTCCAACTACTTTGAAAGCCAACTGACCTATTACAAGGAATTGGTTTAAATGGAAGTTGGGTGTCACTGAAAGAAAGTTAAGAAAAATCCAACAGTCAACTTGAATGTGTACTTTAGTCAAATCATGAAAATAGTGTGTTGGAGTCACACCAAGCAGTGTCTAAGGATGTAAAGAGAAATATTAAAGATAGGGGTCTTATATATACCATAGTTAGGAGGTAAAAAAAAGTGTTAACAATACAGAACCTTAAACCATCAAAAGGGAAAGGAAATAAATAGAAAAAATGGAAAACAAAATCATGTAGGTTGAACTATAACAATATGTGTCTCCAAGCATCTTTCTCCATAGGTTTTATTTTTTATTTTTTTAAGATTTTTATTGGGGAATTGGGGGAAGGGGAACAGACAAGTTGCTATCCTTTTGTTCTTCAATCTAGTTGTGGAGGACGTTGCTTCACTGGCCCAAGTTGGCACCATCATTGCACTCTTCCCGGGTGAGGCAGATCAGTCACCAGCTTCTGGACGCTGCTCACAGCGGCTGCTGGCCACTCACGCTGGCTACTGGCTACACACAGTAGCCTATGGCAACCCACCTGCCATCGCCGGTGACTCAGGGCAGCCCAGCTCCAGGTTGAGCTGTTGTTCAGCATCTTAGCTGTAGAGGGCAGTGTCACTGGCCCTCATATGTAGGATCCAAACCAGGGCCCTTTGGCGTCCCAAGCCAGCTCTTAAACAATGCGCCACTCAGCCGGCCCTCTCCATAGGTTTTATTTATTTGTTGTTGTTGTTTGTTTGGTTTTTAAATTATTTTTTATTATGAAATACACATTTTTTAGAATTAGCTTCAGCTGTACAACACAGTGCAATAGTTATACATTTTACCCCTCGAAGTGCTCTCCGTAGGTTTTAGACAGAAGCTGTGCATCTGTCTGTCTCGGGTAGAAGGATTCACTGTTATGCCAAAATATCCATGCTCTATGTGGTGTATCAGAGGGATGCCATCAAATTGTAAAGAGATAATAATGGGAAAATATCTCAGAACTAACAGCATCTGTATATGCACTGAAGGAGGAATGGTCGCAATGCATAATCACTATCGCTTATTGCAGAGGACAGATTTCAATACATGAAAGACCTTTCTGTATTAGTGAGTATCTCCTCAGTGTGTATCTGGGCACACAAAGGGGGCCTTCAACTGAGTTTGAGAATAGGAGCTTGAGAGAAGGTGGAGGACAAGGAAAAAATTCTATGGTGGCATTTTGAACTGAATAAAAATGAAAACACAACATATGAAAATTTGTGAGATGCCATTATAAGAACTATTTAGAGGAAAAGTCACAGCACTAAACACCCATATTTGAAAAGAAGAAAGGTCTCAAATCAATTACCTCAGCTTCAACCTTAAGAAATTAGAAAAATATGGACAAATATAACCCAAAGTAAGCAGAAGAAAGAAAATCATACTAATTAGGGCAGAAACCAATGACATAGAGAAAGCAGGGAAGAGAAATATCAATGAAACAAAAAGCTGGTCTTTGACTAAATAAAATGAACAAACCTCTAGCCAGATTCATTCTCATTGCCTCATGTACAAAGCTACCCCACTATGATCTTGAAAGTTATCCTAAGGATAATGAGTCTCTTACCCACACGCAAATAAAATGAAAGTAATGGGTCAGGGGATTACCAAACAATCTAAACTAAATTATGCTCCTTCTCTAGAAGTAATCCTAAGTGCCTGCTGTGTGAGAAATGGGAATAGCAGCAGTGTTAGGAAGGAGAGAGTGATGTGGAAAGGACCCTGGACTGGTAGTTTGGAGAGCTGGATTCAATTCTTGTTTGCAAGGAACAGTTTTTGTTCGCTTTAGGTGAATTGCTTCACCTCTTTGGACTTGCCTGTTTCCTCTGTAAAATGGAGGTGACCAAATGATTCAACTCAACAAACAATGATGCATTGGGTGTGTAGTTTTCCCTGACCAAGTACTGGGTACTTGTCTTTTTGGGCTTTCTTATCTTGCAGATAAGACAGGCATTAAGCAATTAATTTTAAGTTGAGAACTGTTAGGACATGGGAAATATACGGTGCAATGGGAACATATAAAAAGGGGTTACCTGTAAAGAGGGATCAGGAAAGACCTCCCTAAGAAGAGTTGGTTTAGACTGAGAATGAAGGGTGAGTTGGCTGGGTGAAGATTTTTCTGTTACCTTTCTGTTGTTGATGGAACAACTGGACAGCCATATGCAAAACAAAATGAACCTAAACCCTTTCCTAAGGCCATATACAAAATAAATCAAAATGGACCACAGAACTAAATGTAAGAGCCAATATTATAAAACATCTAGAAGAAAGCATAGGATAAAATCTTAAGTGACCTTGAGTTTTACAAAAATTTCTTAACCATAACTCAAAAACCATGAACTATAAAAGAAAGCATAAATGAACTGGACTTATTAAAATTAAAAACGTTTGCTCCTCTATTATTCAAATGAAAAGGCACATCTAGGAGAAAATGTTTACAAAATATATATCCAACAAAGGACCTATCTAGAATATATAAAGAACTATTACAACTCAAATATAAGATAAACAGGCCAGTTTAAAAATATTCAAAATATTTGAAAAGATACATCAACCAAGATGATATACAGATGACAGATAAGCACAAGATGCTCTACAGCATTACTTATTAGAAAAATGTAAATTAAAACTACAGTGGGGAAAAACAAACAGTGGGATACCATTTCACTCCCACTAAAATGGCTAAAATTACAAGGGCAAAGATATGAAGCAACACTTATATATTGCTGGTAGGAATGTAAATTCGTACACTTTGGAAAACTGTCAGGCAGTTTCTTAAATAATTAACTATACACTCACCATATGACCAAAACCATTCATTCCTGGGTATTTACACAAGATAAATGAAAACTACATCCACACAAAGACTTGTATACAAATATTCATATCAGTTTTATTTGTAACAGTCAAAAACTAGAAACAACACATATTTTTATCAACACATGAGTAGATAAACAAATTTGGTATATCTATACAATGAAATACCACCTAGCAATAAAAAGGAATATAGATACATGTAACAAAACAAATGAATCACAAAATAACTATACTAAATGAAAGAAGTCAAACAAAACAAGAATACCTATGGTATGACTCCATTTATATAAAATTGTAGAAAATACAAAGTAATCTATAATGACAGAAAACAAATCAGTGGTTTCCTGTAGATGGGGGAGGGGTATGGGGACTGAAGGCTGGATGACAAAGGGGCATAGGGAAAATTTTGGGGGTAATAGAAACATTTTTAAATGGTCATTATATTTCTGTAGTGATGGTCTTAAAGGTGCACACTTATGTCAAAACTCACCAAATTGTACATTTTAAACAAGTTCCATTTACTATATGCTAATTATACCTCAATAAAGCTGCAAACTGTATTTTGGGGAAGATGGAAAAAAATTGAAAATGGACTGGAGGAGGAAGGGGATGGGTAAAAAAGGTGAAGAGAAATATAACCAATAAAGAAAGGAAGACAATGAACTGATATGAGATATCATAGAATTAGTTTGATAATGATAATCCAGTTATGTGGGAGAATGTCCTTACTTTTAGGAGATAAATACTATTTATGAGTATAATGTTACAATGTGTATAACTTACCATGAATTTTTCAGGAAAAAAATTACATTGTTGAATCTAGATTCAAAAGTTATATGTGTTCACTGTACTATTCTTCCAATATTTCTACATGATTGAAAATTTACATAATTAATATGTGGGGAAAATGCAATATTGTTATATTGCCCATCCTCGTCTTCGGAGAAAGAGACATTATCTTTATTGTCCGGAATGTAAGGAAATCTTCTCTGGGAATGTCTCCAGGGAGGGGGATATTTTCTATATTTATTGTTCTGGAATGTAAATAAATCTGAGCACATTGGCTGTTACTGTCTAGACAATAAGAAACATGAGAGATTTGTGGAGGATTTTCTCTGAACAGGAGGCTAGAGTCAACCACATACAGCCAAAAAGAATAATGATATGAAATAAATGTCGAGTGGTATGAAATGGATGGAGATGATAAAAACATATTACATATGCATAACTGATGTCCCTGAAGATGAAAAGAAATTGAACAGAAAAAATGTTAAGCAAAATAAAACTTCCCTGAAATAAAAGGCCTGAATCATGATTGGGAGAGCTTACTATACTCAAGTAAAATAAATTCACAAAAATCAAGACCAAGGCATATGTTTCTAAAGCTCCGTAACTTCAAGCATTTTAAAAAAAAATCATGTGGCAGAAAGGTACGAGAGAAAAAAAAGAGAGAGCAGGTTAGTCTAAGACTTCACTAATGGCATCACTCAATTTTAGAAGAGCAACGTTTACCAAGTTCTCAGAAGAAAGTGAAACTTTAACAATCAGGGTTCAATCAGGGGAGTGGATTCACTATGCATACTATGGAATAAGGAATTTTTAATATGAATTAGACCATGCACAATTGTGTGAGTAGCTGGGGAAGTAAAGGTATGGAAGTGGGAGTTGGAAGATTAGAGAAATCACTAAACAAGACCTTCTGAAACACTGTCATAGGTGGATAAGTCATAGCTTTGCAGGAAAATCTGAGAAGCCAGGCAGATCCAGCTGCTGAAGTGAGACTGTGAAGGGGGAGCTGATGGGAGAAGTCTATGAAAAGCTGTTGCCTTTGTGGGCCTGCAACCAAGCATCTGGTGCTAGGCCTGGGCTATGTTGATCATCAGGGCTGGAAGATGTGAAGAAAGGCTGTGGAAGAGAGTGAGGGAGAATTAAAACCTTCTGGGTACCTCTGTGCCCATTCTTCACTAAATCTAATCTCAAACTTTTAAAGTAATGGTTGCCCCTTCACGTTGACCTCCCAAATTTCATGAAATACCTACTTTTGGCCAACCCTAACCTGGAGTCAAACAGGATTCTTGAAAATGCATTTCTCAGTATAACCCAGACAACAATAGAGCAATACAGCTCAATGACCTAATATTTTTTTGATCGGAAAAGTTTCATGATGAAGTAACATTACCTGAGTTCAGAAATCCCTTCAGGTTTGCTCAGTTGTTTTCTTTAGTTAAATTCATTTCTAAAATAACACTTGCCAAAGTCAATAATGACCTCCTTGTCACAAAACCCAAAAACCAGGACCTCAAGGCTTCTGTATCAGGTTCAGATGTGGTTGAGGCCCCTTGGTTGCAGCTTCTCAGTTTCTTCATCCAGAGACCTGTGAGCTAAATGACAAATTATACGACCCCACCCACCTACCAAAACACACACACACACACACACACAATGGTGATATAGGGACAGGATAACAATAGATACTCCAATTCAAACGGAGGAGAAAGAAGAGGCACATATCAGTCACCCTTCCACAGCAATTCTGAAATCCCACAGAACAAACGTTGTCAGCTCTCCCTGCTCCAGGGGCAGATTATGTTTCTTGATTAAGTCACAGTCCTACCTGGGAATGGCTCCCCAGTCCATTTTAATCTAATGTTCTTGGGTCTTCTCTCTGAGATGTTCTTCTTTTCCCATAAGAAATGGCCCACGTTTGCAGCTGAGTAACTTTCTCAGCTTGCTTCCTGTTCACAATAGTTAGAGAGGGGAGTCCAGAGGCCTCTTTTCATTCTGGACTGTTTCTGTCCCTTTAAGTCCAACCTGGAGGTAGTTTCACTAGTAAAAGTCTATTTAAAACTTTATAGGTTTTCTTTTAATCTGGTTTGTAATTACTCCATGCCTCAAATTCCACATTGACAATTCTTAAGACAGGCCCCTCTCTACTTTGAGCGGTGTGTCAGGCCACTGGGAACAATATCATGAAGTTTTTAGAAGCCATTTAGCTTAGTTGAGAGGGTCTCCCAAATGCCAACTTAAATATTTCACACATTTTAACAAAAGGTCTTACAGCCATACTCATGATCTCTACCCTGAGGCCATTTTTCACCTTGAGACTATTTTGATGCCTGAAGAGAATGGAGATGTGAAAGTTATTTTCCAACCCATTAAGTCCTGGCTTTTTTGTATTTCCTCTGAAATCTGCTTGCAAATGGAGTAGTTATTCTCTTAGGTCATATCTTTCTTTCTGTACCTTATCATATGCAACTAATAGAAGCAAACTGATACTTCCAACATTCTGTTGGAAATCTCCTTAGATAAATCCACAAGTTCATTTGGTACATTCTCCATCTTCCTACAGAGCATAGTGATTGTTTCGCTATTTTTTTCCTTACTAAATTAACATGGGGTGTCATCTTTTCCAGCCTTTCTTAAGTTTTTCTCATTGTTTTTCCAGTCTCCACCTGCAGCCCGGGCCCAAAGTCAATGTCATGTCTTATGTTTTGTTACAATACCCTCCCCGCCATATACACGTATAGATATTATTAGGATTTGCTATGCAACAAAGTACCCCAAAACTTAGCATTTTAAAACAATACTTATTTTATTTATCTCACAATTCTCCAGGTTGGCTGGGATAACTGTTATGGCTCTTCTAGTATAGGCTGGCTTGGCTGGGGCTGGAGGTGGAGGAAGGCCTCACTCCCAGGTCTGGCAGTTGGCCTAAGGGGCCTCATCTGGGCTGGCTCATCTCTGCTTTATCTGGTTTCTCATCCCCCAGTAGAGTAATCTGAGCTTCTTCACATGAAGGTCTCAGAATTCCAAAGAGCAGCAAGAGAAGATAAGTCTCAAGGAAGGCTTTACACACCTCTCCAGCCTCTTCTTATATCTTTGTTAATATACAGTGGCCAAAGCAAGTCACATGGCCAGGTTCAGAGTCAAGGAGTAGAGAGAGGACTCTCCCTCATAACAAGAGAAACAACAGAGTAACATTACAAAGGAGCATACATAAAAGAACAAAAGAGGTCTGTGGCTATTCTGCATTGTACTACAATGAAAGAAGATAAAAATATGTTGCCACAGAAATCAGTTTGAATGACAGGATTATATTTATGTGTTCATGTAAAATTATATCTGCAGATGCGTGTATATATAAAACCATAATGACTTTAAAACTGTGGGTTCATGTGAAAGAAATATTCAATAGTAAACATACTTGATAGATACAATTATATTAAACTCAATAAACGAACTTCAATTATTCCTCCTGTTGTGCAATGTGTTCTACTATAAAAACCCTACAGAACTTAGGGTAGGTTTACACCCTACCCTAATATAATAGGAAGGCTTTATAATAGGAAGGCTTTCTTCCTAATGCATCAAACTGACAGCACTTTTCCTAGTATGAATTCTACTATATTTTGTGAGGCTGTGCAAATATGGAAATTCTCCTTCATTCAATGCATTCTTAGAGGGTCTCTTCTAAATAATTTTCCTCATCTCAGCTGAGAGACACTGACAAATGCTTTTTATTATGCAATGTACTCAGATAGGATCTGGCTTGGATGAATTTTATGATCTACACTTAGACCTGACTTCTGTTATAAGGCTTTCTCATTTTCAAGAAACAGGGTTACTTTCATGTATGAATACTGCGATGCATACTTAGGACTGACTTCTGAGTAAAGCCCTTTCCACAGTCACTGCATTTATAGGGTTTATCTCCAGTATGAATTGTCTGGTGTTTATTGAAATTTGACCTGTCAGTGAAGGCTTTCCCACATTCTGCACACATATATGGTTTCTCTCCTGTGTGAATTCGTTGATGTACTTTGAGATGTGGTTTCTTGGAGAAGGATTTCTCACAGTCAGGACATTTATAAGGCTTCTCTGTAGTATGAATTCTCTGATGTGTAATTAACTCTGACTTCTGGATGAAGGCCCTCCCGCAATCAGCACAAACGTAGGGTTTCTCTCCAGTATGAATTGTCTGGTGCTTATTGAAATTAGACCTGTCAGTGAAGGCTTTCCCACATTCTGCACATATATAAGACTTCTCTCCAGTATGAGATTTCTGGTGAGTATTGAGGTTTGACCTGTTGGTGAAGGCCTTCCCACATTCGGTGCATATATAGGGTTTTTCTCCTGTGTGAGTTCGCTTATGCATCTGGAGTTGTGACTTAGAAGGGAACGATTTCCCACATTCACTGCATTCATAAGGCTTCTCTCCAGTATGAATTCTTTGATGTGCTATCAAGTGTGCCTTCTGGATGAAAGCCTGCCCACATTCAGTACATATATAGGATCTCTCTCCTGTGTGGATTCTCTGATGCATCCTAAGTGTTGATTTTTGGGTAAAGGCTTTCCCACACTCACTGCATTTGTGGTGTCTCTCTCCAGTATGGATTTTCTGATGTACACTGAGTGCTGAGTTCAGGGAAAAGCCTTTCCCACATTCACTGCATTCGTAGAGTTTTTCTCCAGTATGAGTTGTCTGATGCCTAAGTAGAGATGACACCTGGAGAAACGATTTTCCACATTCACTGCATTTATAGGGTTTTTCTCTAGTATGAGTTTTCTCATGCATAATTAAATCTGAATTCTGGATGAACACTTTCCCACATTCAGTACATATATATAGTTTTTCATCTCTATGAACTCTCAGACATATACTAAGGAGTGGCTTCTGTGTAAAAATATTTACACATTTGCTAAGTTCATGAGGTTTTTCCACAGTATGAAATCTTTGAGATGCAAAGAGGTGTGACTTCTGTGTGAAGATCTTCCCAAATTCAGTACACATATTTGCTTTCTCCCCAACAGGAAATTTCATATTGTGACTGAGGCTGAGGACTTTTCCACACTGATTACTTTCACAAAATTTCACTCCTATATGCGTATTTTCATGGTTAGTATAAGAACTTGGGGTGAAAACTTGACTGTGTCCAACAATTTTATCAAAGTTCTTTGTTGTATTGTTTTTACTATGAATATGTAAGTCTAAATTACGCTTAAAACTCTTTCCAAATGAGTCATACTTATGGGGTCTTTTCTGTGAAGGAATAATATAATTTGGGCTTGGCTGAACAAATTTTCTATTGTCTTTATAGTCATAATCCCACTCCGTACTCAGTATTTTCTTATTGATGAATGCAGTATGATTTAGAGGTTTGTTCTGTTTTTCCTGATATCTTTTTATCTGTTCAGCATCTTGCCACAGTTCTTCTAAAATGGAATACAATGAATCATCCCTTGTATCTTCAACCTCCATTTCACTATGAAATGAAGGTTTCCCAGAAATTCTTTTTTGTGAGATCTTAATCCCAAACTTCCCATCTAAAAAGAGAAAGAAAAAGTAAAATTGACACAAAGAACAGATAGCAAAAGATTACAAGGTACACATAAGCTAATCCAAATTGAACACAGGGAAATCATCAAACCTGATGATGATGATTATGATGATGATGTTGTTGACAATGATGACAGGAAATACATGTAAAGCACTTATTATGTGCCAAGCTCTTGCATAACATTTATGATGTTCCATTGTTCTAAGAAATATTCGGTTGTCAGAAAAGTTATGACGTATTTTTTCTATGTTTTTCGATGCAAAAATGTATCTGACTTTTCCAACAACCCAATATATACATATGAACTGATTTAATCCTTTCCAAGGCCCTATGAGGTATTTTCTATTATCCACCTATTGTAGATAAGGAAAGTAAAACTCAGAGTGATTACATATATAATTTGCCCTAAATCATGGCCATTAAGTGTTAGAGATTAGAGTTCAACATAAGCAATCTAGCTCAATTTTGGTAGGAGGTTGAATATCAAGTAGAATGGACTGAAGATTAAAAAGACAAAGGTTTGAAGCCAGCCGAGTGGCTCAGTTGGTTAAGAGCGCACGCTCTGAGCAACAGTCACCAGTTCGATTCCCACATAGACCGATGAGCTGCCCCCAAGCTGAGCTGTCACCGAACTGCCAACATGTGGCAGGATGGCTCAGCTAGTGAGATCACATGATCCTAACAACAAGGTTGCCAGTTCAACTCCTGCATGGGAATGGTGGGCTACATTCCCCCCACACACACACAACTAAGATTGAACACGGCACCTTGAACTGAGTGGCTGCAAGCTGCTGATGGGCGGCTGGATGACAACTGGACTTGGAGCTGAGCTAGCTGCGGCCTCCACAACTAAGATTGAGGAAGAGCAACTTGGCTGTTCACCTTCCCCAATTGCCCAACACTGTTCCCCTCCCCCAATTCCCTAATTTAAAAAAATCTGAAAAAAGTAAGACAAAGATTATAAGAGGAAATATCCATGGAGAGCCTATGATTAGAGGAAGTGACTCAGAATCTAAGTCCTCATTAGTTTTCAATTCTAAATCCTCACTAATCTCAGTGCTTCTTATTAGCAACAATACCAAATTCATGTGATCAAAAAACCAATTTAATTTGCTAAGAGAGTAGATCCTAAAAGTTCTCATCACAAGGGGAAAACACTTTTTCTTCTCTTTTATATCTATGTGAGATGGATGTTAACAAAACGTATTGTGGTAATCATTTCACAATGTAAATGTGGTACACGTTGAACTTATACAGTGCCATATGTCAATTATATCTCAAAAAAAGCAACAAAAAACATTTATTCATGCCTATGGGAAAAATATTATGGTCATAGCCATCTTGATCTATACAAACAATAAATTGATGTGTATACTCCAACTCTCCAAAGGTGTAATTGTTCTCTTGGACCTAAAATTATTTTTATATATTAAATATACATATAATAAGAAGTATAAAATCAGAGAAAGGACAAGCCATCTGTGTAAATTGAAAGCTGTCCACTGGAATCTATTTTACCATCTTTTTTGTTTGTTTCTAAAAATTTGTATTGGGGAATTCAGGGATGGGAACAGCGCTGGGGAATTGGGGGAAGGGGACCAGACAAGTTGCTGCCCTTTTATTCTTCAGTCTAGTTGTAGAGGACGCTGCTTCACTGGCCCAAGTTGGCACCATCATTGCGCTCTGCCCGGGCGAGGCAGATCAGTTGCCGGCTTCTGGATGGCTACTCATGGTGGCTTGAGGGCTGCTCATGTTGGCTGCTGGCCACACACAGCAGCCCACAGCAACCCACTGCAGCAGGGGCCGCAGCCTACGCCATTGACGGTGAACCATGGCAACGCAGCTCCAGGTTGAGCTGCCATTCAGCATCCCAGCTGTAGAGGGTAGCGTCACTGGCCCTCATACGTGGGATCTGAACCGGGGCCCTCTGGCGTCCCAAGCCAGTTGTTAACTAATGCGCCACTTGGCCAGCCCTATTTTACCATCTTTTGCATTAACAGAATAATAGCCTGACATATGGCTGCCCAGTCCTATAACACTTCTCAGCCTCCTTTGAAAACTGGTGTGGCCATGTGACAATGTTCTCATCAACAGGATTTGGGAAATAATGATGGGTGCCACATTCAAATTAGAGCTTTGAGACGGTAGGCATGTTTTCTCTGCACCCTTTTCTACCTTCTTGCTTACTGAAATCTGGACTTGACAGCAATACAGAGTCATACATGCAGATGCAAAAAAAACCCCAAGAAATGGTGGAATTATGTAATGGAAGGATCTTGAATTTCTGAATAAACATGAGCAATGAGGTTTTCCAACGGCCTGTGGTATTAGAAACTTTATATGAGAGAAATAAAATTCTTCAGCATTTTAGTCACTGTGTCTTATAGTGTCATTATTACTGAGAATTAGCTTTAACATAATTAATACACTGTTCTTGCCTCGAATGGGAATCACAGATGTTTCCATTACCAGCACGGTACATGAGACATATTAGATTCTCCATAATAATTTTAAAATGGAAGACTTATATATTATGTCATCAGTAAAAGATTTGCTGCTGAGCATGCTGAGTCATCAAATCCAGTTTCCCCCTGCTCTTCAGTTTGGCACTATACTGCAGACACATGTCCCATCCAAAATCTCATCCTCCTATTCTTTTTGTTTTGCTTTCATTATTATCAAACTAATAATTTGAGGGTTAGCTTCTTTGAATAGTATAATAGCATTCACAGATTTTTCACACATGGAAAATATTACATTGTTTTAGTACCATCTAACTTAGGAGTTTTAACACTTTAAATTTGCCCCCATTTTTTAAAAAACTGTTGAGGTGTTTTTTTTGTCTCTCCACCATTTAAAAAATTCTTATCCTCCCACCCCCTTCCCATTTGGCACCATCAGCTTATGCTCCATATCTAAGTGTGTGTGAGTGTGAGTGTGTGTGTGTGTGTGTGTATCAATAAATTTCCATCCAAGTAGTTAGCCTCATCTCACAAGTTCTGATGTGTCTATGTTTTCATTATCATTCTGCTCAAAATATATTCTAATTCCATTGTGGTTTCTTCTTTGACTTATGGGCTATTTGGATGTGTGTTGCTTACTTTCCAAACATTTGGATATTTTCTAGTTGTATTTCAGTTCAGATCTTTAATTTATTTCAACAGTAGAAGACTGTAGTGTATGATTTTAATCCTTTTAAATTTCTTGCAATTAGCTTTATGTCCCAAAATAGGGTCTATTTTGGTCAGTGTTCCATAAGCACTTGAGAAGAATATATTTTCCACAGTTGTGGAATGCAGTGACCTATGTATGTCAATTAGGTCATATTGGCTGATCATGTTCAAATTTTCTACATCTCTACAGACTCTCTTGTCTGTAAACAGACAAAAATCATTTACATGGATATGTTAAAATATCCAACTATGATTGTGCATTTTGTCTATCTCTCCTTTTAGTACTATCAATGCTTACTTTATCTATATTTGAGTGTTATTAAGTTCATACAAATTTAGATTTTTTATATAGTCCTGTTGACAAGAAATTTTATCAGTTGCAGAGAAAGAGGGCATGTCACTGAAAAGACAGCAGAACATTAAAATAATACAGGAATAGGGCCGGCCGAGTGGCGTGATGGTTAAGAACTCGCTTGGGATGCCAGAGGGCCCCGGTTCGGATCCCACGTATGAGGGCCAGTGACACTGCCCTCCACAGCTGAGATGCTGAACAACAGCTCAACCTGGAGCTGGGCTGCCCTGAGTCGCTGGCGACGGCGTGAGCTGCAGTCCCTGTGGCAGTGGATTGCCATGGGCTACCGTGTGTAGCCAGCAGCCAGCCTGAGCGGCCAGCAGCCGCAGTGAGCGGCCGTCCAGAAGCCGGCAACTGATCTGCCTCGCCAGAGAAGAGTGCAATGATGGTGCCAACTTGGGCCAGTGAAGCAACGTCCTCCACAACTAGACTGAAGAACAAAAAATGACAGCAAGTTGTCTGTTCCCCTTCCCCCAATTCCCCAGCACTGTTCCCATCCCCCCAATTCCCCAATAAAAATCTTTATATATAAAAAAAATACAGGAATAGGGCCAGCTGAGTGGCACACTTGTTAACAGTTGGCTTGGGAGCACCAGTTCAGAGCAGCAGGGCCTCCGTTCGGATCCCACATGAAGGCCAGTGATGCTGCGCCCTCTACAGCTAAGACTGTGAATAACAGCTTGACCTAGAGCTGGGCTGCCGTGAGTGGCCGGCGACAAGCAATGGTGTAGGCTGCAGTGGGGCTGGCCGGCAGCTGGCGTGAGCTTTCGTGAGCAGCTGTCCAATGGCTGGAGAGCAACTGCCTCACCCAGGAAAAATGCATTGATAATACCAACATGGGCCAGTGAAGCAACGTCCTCCACAACTAGGTTGAAGAACCAAAGGACAGCAACTTGTCTGTTCCCCCTTCCTGATGCCCCAATGCTGTTCCCCTCCCCCAATTCCTCAATAAAATCTTTAAAAATAATAATAATAGTAATAATAGTACAGGAATATTATAAAACAACCATATGCCAAAAAAATGACAACTTAGATAAAATGCACAAACTCCTTGAAAGAACAAACTATCAAAACAAGAAGAAATAGAAAATATGAATATCCCTATATCTATTAAATAAACTGAATTTGAAATTTAAGATAGTCCCACAAAGAAAATTTCAGACCTAGATGAGTTTACTGGTGAATTTTATCATATACTTAAGGGAAAAAATTATAAAATTTAAAGCAATATTATATAAAATCACAAATCAGAGGAGTGAACATTGAAAAATCCTAGAAAATATAGCAATTTTACACAAATTATTTCAGAAGACACAACAGGCATGAAATTTCACAACTCATTTTAGGAGGTTAGCATTAACATTGATCCTAAAATCAAAGATGTTAGAAATGAAAAGCATACCAAAAACTAAAGATATATATCTTTCATAAACATAGAGATAAAAATCATTGCCAAATATT